TTTATTTGGATATTACAGTCACTCTTCAATATATATATATATATATATATATATATATATATATATATATTGTTTGACACGACAAAGAAACTCTCTGGAAATCGCCGCAAACCAGAACGACCAGTGAAAAGCAAGGAAGGCAAGGTAATCACCCACATTGAAGAGCAACAAAACAGGTGGATAGAACACTTCAAAGAACTCTTGAATCGACCAGCGCCACTGAACCCACCCAACATCGAAGCAGCACCCACGGACCTCCCAATCAATGTTGGCCCACCAACAGTTGAAGAAATCAGCATGGCCATCAGACAAATCAAGAGTGGCAAAGCAGCAGGACCGGACAACATCCCAGCAGAGACACTAAAAGCAGACGTAGCGGCAACTGCAAGGATACTCCACATTCTCTTCAATAAGATTTGGGATGAGGAACAAGTACCAACAAACTGGAAAGGAGGACTTCTAATCAAAATACCGAAGAAAGGCGATCTCAGCAAGTGTGATAACTACAGGGGCATCACTCTTCTCTCAATACCGGGAAAAGTCTTCAACAGGATATTGTTAAACAGGATGAAGGACTGCGTAGACGCCCAACTTCGTGACCAACAGACAGGATTCCGTAAGGATAGATCGCGTACAGACCAAATCGCAACTCTACGCATCATTGTGGAACAATCAATTGAATGGAATTCATCACTCTACATCAACTTCATTGACTACGAAAAGGCATTTGATAGCGTGGACAGAACAACACTATGGAAACTTCTTCGACACTACGGCGTGCCTCAGAAGATAGTCAATATCATACAGAACTCATATGATGGATTACACTGCAAAATTGTGCATGGAGGACAGTTGACAAAGTCGTTCGAAGTGAAGACCGGTGTTAGGCAAGGTTGCTTACTCTCACCGTTTCTCTTTCTCCTGGTGATCGACTGGATCATGAAGACGTCAACGTCTGAAGGAAAGCGCGGGATACAATGGACATCTAAGATGCAGTTGGATGATCTAGACTTCGCAGACGATCTGGCCCTTCTATCCCACACGCAACAACAGATGCAGGAGAAGACAAACAGCGTGGCAGCAGCCTCAGTAGCAATAGATCTCAACATACACAAAGGGAAAAGCAGGATTCTCCGATACAACACAGCATGCACCAATCCAATCACAATTGACGGAGAAGATTTGGAAGATGTAAAAACCTTTACATATTTGGGCAGCATCATTGATGAACAGGGTAGATCTGATGCAGATGTGAAGGCGCGGATCGGCAAAGCAAGAGCAGCATATTTACAACTGAAGAACATCTGGAGCTCAAAGCAACTGTCAACCAACACCAAGGTCAGGATTTTCAATACAAATATCAAGACAGTTCTACTGTATGGGGCAGAAACCTGGAGAACTACAAAAGCCATCATCCAGAAAATACAGGTGTTTATTAACAGTTGTCTACGCAAAATACTTCAAATTCATTGGCCGGACACTATTAGCAACAACGTACTGTTGGAGAGAACAAACCAGATCCCAGTGGAGGAAGAAATCAGGAAGAAGCGCTGGAAGTGGATAGGACACACATTGAGGAAAGCACCGAACTGCGTCACAAGACAAGCCCTCACATGGAATCCTGAAGGTCAAAGGAAAAGAGGAAGACCAAAGAACACATTACGCTGAGAACTGGAGATAGACATGAGAAAAATGAACAAGAATTGGATGGAACTAGAAAAGAAGGCCGAGGACAGAGTGGGTTGGAGAATGGTGGTCAGCGGCCTATGCTCCATTGGGAGTAACAGGCGTAAGTAAGTAAGTAATATATATATATATGGCTGTATATACATGTAAGTTCGTAAAGACATTGAGAATTAACGCAAGTGTCTACCCGCTGTCTAGGTTTGTTTGTTTTTCAATGATAATGACCGTGGTTGTATAGTACGTCGCATTGATAGTCGATTTAGCTTTCCTTTCAACATATGGTTACTTAACTAAACAATGAATCATGTAGACATACTTTTTTAGATTCCAAAAGAATAATTATCAACATAATATATTTTTTCAAGCCGTTTATAGATTTTAATATCCATTTTTTTACCAGTTTTCCATTTATAAGCCTAATCTTGTCTTTAGTAGTATTGTGGTTTGGGTTACTTATATCCACACAAGTAGTATATAACGGTGGTCAGGCATAGAATGTATTTCAGTGGAAGATTGAGAGGGAAAGAACGGACACGGGGAGCAATTGGTATGAAAATGCATGAACAATGAAATCTAGGACAATGGACTGATCTTTTGCAGATTAACGACTTACTATATGGTTCTCAGATTTTAGTGAGATGCTCTGTAATTTCGTATCAAATATATTCGATTGTCCCCACCCGTGTTCTTGTTCACTACAGTATCATTTACGTTAATATGGCTAATCCTAGTGAATATAACCTTCACTAAATATCGATTTGATTCTTACGTCTGGAGGGATGTAATTCATATGATTTTCCATCATTATCTGTGTTTATATTTAGGTTCTAATTTGTCACTTGTCATATGAGTCGGGATTGTTCGAAATGAACTATGCTAATGTATCTATCATATAGTAATGCCAAACTTTATCTTCTCATTCTATTATCTAAGAATGAAGTATTAAGTATTATGAAATTAGACTTGATTATTTTTTAAAATGTTTATTAAAAAGGATTGAAAATTGGATGTTGGATATTTTATAGGAATGAAATTTAGTATTATGTAGTTAACCACATCCCGTATATTCATTAGTAAACATGGAAGAAAAAAACATAAATAGATTAGTTGTTAACGAAAATAGAGAGTGACAAAGTAAAGGATAAGAAATGATGGAATGCTTAACTTGAAACTAAGAAATAAGATTATCTCACCTTCGTACCAGGATACCTTGAAACCATTCAGCCTTGTTAACATATGAACATGAACAGATATACGATCGTTAGTTAAGAAGATACTTAACAGGGTCTACCATAAGAACGTGTTTATAAGAATGTTAGATGTTATTCCATTGAAAGGAAAACCATGTATTCCATTTTGCCATAAGCTTTCCATCACAGACGATAAGGAATTTTCGGGAGAATTAGTTTCCCCATACATTTTCAACATCAAAGACCGGCGGATAGCATCTATCAAGTAGGTCAATTTTGAGCTATGAGGTCACACAATATTAATATATCTAATTCAGGTACTTCTGTGTAGTGAGGTGTTGGAAAGCAACATCAGTTTACTCATATCAAATGAAGCATATTTCTCATGCATATCGAAATTCCCCTTCATCTGTCCTCTATGTTCATGAAGTCGATCACAGTTCTCACAACCTGTAACTTGAACCTACAAAATGCCATCCCTAGTACGGTAAAATTACTGTTAACATCATATTAGAGCTTCAACTTTCGAAGGGTATTTCAAATCGAACGGGGCTATACAACTGATATCCTAAGATACTATGATTCTCGGATGCGTTTATAAGTTTTAAACGTAGTTATCTATTGAGAATCTCATACTCTATAGGTATAACACGAGATTCAAAAGAACAGTCAAATATGACAATATTCGTAGTTCTCAGTCACAAACTTATTACCCGAGGTTTAAACAAAATCAAGAATATGCCTAACCAATAGGTATCAATCTTGCCTCCGACAAATCACGTAAGTAGGTGAATCTAATTATGAGTCTACCTTCGAAACTCTATGAAAACGTGCGTGATCCTTTTTTGCGTCTAGTTATGTAATCATTTGCTTCAAGCCAACACTACATTAATTCATAAAACATTGTCAGATTCGGTGGTCATTGAAATCAACCTAACAATGGACAGAAATCCTTTTTTATGTTCCTGTAAGTGTGTGCACAAACAGATGGAAAATTTGAATGGTTGATAATCAAAAGAGAAAATTAGTTTTCCAGTCAAATATAGACACGAGAGTTACTGAAGCACTAACCAACTCTTTTTCTAGCTTAGTCCGGTAAAGTATTTGGTTTACTGTTGAAATAATGATCAAGAGAGTTGGCAATCTGAAATCGAAAGTCGCTAAATACTGCTTATTTCCGGTGTTAACATAATAAGCGATTGATGTTTATAAGTTTATTTTAAACTGTCTTCAGGTAAAATGTAGAGCAAAAGTAGCTTAGAGGCAGTAGTTGTGTAAATTCTTAATGATTGATCACCGATAGAATCATAACAAGAGTAGCGAAGACTTATTCAGTATCCAACACTATATCATCTATAGCACTATGTGCTGGCCTACAATTGGTATACTTAATACAGGTGTTGAAAATGAGAACAGAACATTCTGGAGTAATAAGTATCTTGAAACTATTACCAGTCTGCGACAGAACTACCGACTGAGGAAAGTCTAGATTAGAAATAGTTGCAGGATGAAACTATACACATGTCATCATACAGTTGACTAGCAAGTGTTAAACATTAGCTAAATATATGACATACTACTGTAAAAGTAGAGTGACCTTTGACATGAGCCACATAAACTTTACAAATGCTGAGTCATAACCCTACAGTAAATACTAAGGCGCCAATCTACTCAAAGCTTGGTTATTCAACATAAATAGAAGTTTGCCCATTTGTCGAGTTCCTATTCTGTTATATTTCCTTGTGATTTTTATCATTGGACAGTATATATGCTGACCACTTCCTATAAACTAATGCATTAAAAAACATAAAGGCTACACATCTTATAGATTATTAGTAAGGGGTTATAGAGGATGTTGAATTTCATCGAAATCATGCACCGATCTAAGTGAAATAACCATTGGAAATATTCAAGTATTGGACGGCCATTCCATCATAGTATAGAACTTCTCAGTAATGTCGCAATCATGATCCCACACTCATTAATCAAACCCATAACATTCCGTCTCGCACCCAACTGCTGTCTAGAGATTTTAGGCCTCCAACGGTAGTTTAAATTAGATCGATTCATGATCTGAACGAAATCTTATCGATTGTGAATAATTGTACAAAAGTTCTGTTATTTGCAATATACCATTTTATTATTATTGAAATAATAAGATTAAATTGTTCATTGATAATCATTTAATAGTTCAAATAAATAAAGAGATATGACAGAGAAACGGAGAAATCTGGCAATGGACAATAATACCTGATTTAAGTGAAATTTGTCACCTCTATAGAAGTAGAACAATTATAATTATGATAATTATCATTAGTACAACGAATAATATTAATAATCACACTAGTAGTCATAGAAATATTATTTATCACACTGATTAGTAGTGGGGATATTTGTTGTAACAAGGAGTGCACGTACTTTGTTCGTGTGTATCTGTGTGTACGCGTATGGACTGATTGGTTGATTACATCAAATTGTATGTGTTTCTTTTTAATGGAAGAGGCAGTAATATTTATTATTTTTGTTGTGAAAAGCAATTTCAATCATTCAAACACGGAATCTATTCATCCCGATAAATACAGACAAACATACACACACACACCTAAATGACATTAGTTTTATGGGGAAGAATCTTCATAGAAAGGAAAAGAAAGATATTTACAGTTGAATTCATAGAATATCATTGTTGTTGTATCTTACTAGTACTGCTGTTAATCATACCAACGGTCGCAATAAATAATAATAACAATAATAGTGATAATTGTTGTTATCATCAAGACAAGTAGGCATTACAGTCGACTAACGGACTATCAACACCACACAATCACAGTTAATAAATGTTAAATTTTCTTTTAAAAATATAAACTATGTCAATAATTATCAAAAGATATAAAGTGAAATTTGGAATCCGACAGAAGAAACACAAAACAGAACAACAACAAAAAAATAATAGTAATACTACTAGTAATTATAATTGTAGTCTCTGGTATAGACATTAACTGCCATCATTCAATCTCTCTGTATCTGTGTATGTGTACGTGTGCAAAAGGAAAACATTTCATCAAACAGATAAATTCTTAATAATTGTTTTCTTCTTCTTCCCTATATTGCTAATCAATTCTGATTGTGTGTACTTGACATTTAAAACAAACAAACAAACAAATAACCAGTAGAACTACATTGGATAATAATTAATTGTTCATAATACATAACGACACACTGAGATTGACCATTTTAACTAACTAACTTCATATTCAGGACCTGTCAATAAAGAGAAAGAGAAAATAAAATACAGTTCAGTTATGTGATGTACGACTTCAAATAAAAAATTAATCTAGAAACATATGTAACAAAACGTTCGGATAATATTTTGGTATTTGAAGTGAAGAGTACTGAGTTCGAGTCCCAGTATAAAAATTAACACCTGGATGCAAGTATATGTCCAACTGGCGAGTCCCAAATATAAAACAAAACGAGCGCCCACGATTCTAGTGATAGTAAAAACTCATCTATTCTATAAAACTTGTGATAAAATGGTTATATCGAGGTAATCCGCGCACGATTTACATATCCCAACAATTATTGATCAGCTTGGAATCCAGTGTCAACTAGAAGTGAAAGGATCCTGTTTAAAATGAATTTGTTACTGAGTAGTGATCAATGTGATGTCAGACAAAGTTGCTTACCCTCGCATTTCTTCTAACTTCTGATGGTTGACTAGATTCTGAAGACTTTTACAGCTGAGGGGGAGAACGGAATACAATGGACAAGTTGGATGCAACCAGACGATTTGAACTTCCAAATGACCTGACCCTTCTATCTCATAAACATCAACAAATGCAGGTCAAGACAAACAGTGTAGCGGAATCATCTGCATCAGTATGTTTCAACATACACAAAAAAATAAGCAACATCCTCAAATACAACACAGAGAACACCAACTCAATCACACTTGATAAAGAAACTCTGGAAGAGGTGGAATCTTTCACGTACTTGTGTAGCATCATCGATGATGCAGACGTAAAGATAAAGATTGGCAAAGCAAGGACAGCATTCCTACAGTTGAACAACATATGCAACTCAAAACAACTGTCTGTCAACCAATATTAAAGTAAGAATCTTCAATACGAACGTCAAGACAATCCTACTGTGCAGAGCTGGAACTCCCAAAGCTACCGCAGCCATCGTTAAATCTGTACAAGTATTTATAAATAATTAACTACACAAGATGCTGAATGTTTGTTGGCCGGATACCGTCAGCAACAGTGTACTGTTGGAGAGGAAAAACTAGCTTCCAGCTAAGGAGGAAATTAGGAAAAGACATTGGAAGTGGATAGGACACACGTTGAGATCATCAAACTGTATCACGAGGCAAGCGCTAACTTGGAATCGTGAAGGAAAGCGGAAAATAGTAAGGTTATAGAACACAATACGTCAAGAATTGGAAGCAGACATGAAAAGGATTGTTCAGGACAAAGTTGAATGGTAAATGCTGGTGGGCTACCTATATTCCTCCACGAGGGGCAACAGGAGTAAATAAAGTCAGTAAGATTGTAGTTATTTAGTAGATGACAACAAGGTAGTTTGCATCTACTAATATGGCTTAGATCAACAGTCAGTAATTTCATGAACTGATGTTATATGATTGTTTGGCCGCTTCTAGCTGATACTACTTATCTTACTCTAAATTTTGAGTGTAATATCATTCCACACTTTTTATCTTATGTGCTGTATTCAACGAAATACCAGTCAAAACATATTCACCTAATAAACAACAATACAAAACAATGACAACAATAACGACACAAGTCTCATATTGTCAACATAAACGTTATATATTTTTCTCAATATTTTAAAATTATTATATGCGCTTGTACGAGTTAATAATAATATATATTCCAAATGATATGTAGTATTGTATAATGAAAAATTTACAGACCACGTGCAACTGTTAACAAACAGACTTCAGAGAAACATAGTGATGATTGATACATGGACCATATGATAATTATTAGTACCGAACTGAGGGAACGTTATTAAGAACATAGACCATGTATATATTATTTCTAAGTAGTATAATAAGTATTTAGGAGAACTAAGCTGCTATACCTTGATGTAGTGTCTAATTAGTTATTACCCACAATGAGTAGGATAGAAAAATTAAGACTGATAAAACAAAACACGATAATTTGAGTGAAAAGTTAGTGATTAGAAATACAAGACAATTCGTCACTAATGTGTACCATCCACTAATCTATAAATATGGTGACAGCTTCAACATATAAATGTAACAAGACTGATGAGTTGAATAAACCTTTAGATGTTTAATATTTTTGTTTTCAATAATAGGAAGTAGTTATAAAAGCAACATACTTTTTACAAATCGTTGTGGTACATTTGCTAAACTACGAACAGTATCGCCAGCTACTTGATTACATTTAGACCATAGAGCTTTGACTGCACCCATTGCTTCACTTAGTTTACCTTCATGTTCATCATCTTTATTATTAGCATTGTGAATTGAATTATCTACATTCTCATCAACACCACAACCAAGATTATCCTGATCTGAAGGATATACAGAAATTAATAGATCATTTGGAATATTGGATGAAGGAAGTGGTGGTAGGTTAGACGGTCTTGTTGTATGAATTTCTACTAGAGGCCATGAATTAGCCACTGAGGGATGTAGAACTTCTTCTTTTAAATTATGACATAAATCATCAAATTCTTTTTCAGTTGAGCATAAAAAACCTAATACCATGCTTGGATCTAATCGTTTAAGCGGGATACGTATAGGATTATCACAATGATATGTTTGATCATAATCTGGTTTTAAATTACCGCGACCAGCGGGTTGAGTAGTATGCGGATCTAAACAGATTACATCATCATCAGTAACACCTACAATCCAGACAGCATGACATGGTGAACCGCCTAATATTCCGACACAATTTGGCAAACGAAATACAGCCTATAAAAAAGTTATTTTTAAAAGAAAATTGTTAGTCAAGAGTAAAGATGATAACACTTGGTATGCATGAATGAATAAACAGTCAATGTAAAACTATTTAACTTCAATATATAAACGACAGATGATAAATGTCAATAAACAATAGGAAAGTCATATTTTTATATATAAGATAAACATCTATTTGTAGACTTAACTGTTGTATCCCGGTAAGAATAATGAATGGTAATTTTTGGGATCCGTTTATGGACCAATATTATGAGTATATTTTTACCGTATAATTGTTATGTAACTAAACTATTTATATTCATGTCCCTCTTATTGTGAGCTTTATTTTGACCTATGAACTATTATCATACGACTTACCATTCATGAACATATTCCCTGTCTGTTAATCGCTACCTTCCTCATTCACAGCCACATCTGGCTAATTCTTGTACAGATATGGTTTCATATTTTATTGGTACGTTGTGGTCGGTTTGATTGGTATATAAACTCAGTATGCTTGAAGTATAGTGATTCATATCTCAGAGGCTGAGACTTGCGTTCTGGACTCAACTGACTGGACTAGACAGGGAAGCGGGAACAATCAGAACTCTAGGCCGTTCTTACGTGTTTACGCGTCTTTGGTCCAGTCGATAATTCGCTGCCATCTTATCTGCATTCACAGTCATAACATTAACCCTGTGTACATTCCATACAAAGAAAGTGTTGAAAATCACACAACTAATAGCTGATATTATCGGCTCTTTATGTCAGGTAAACTTTCAAAGATTATGAATAAAAGTATAATATGTTATGACGTGCAGTGTCCGAGAGCTGGTACCGTTACGCGATCTTCTCATGCTCAAGCCTGCACATACACAAGAGAGGGAATGAATAGTGAGGAAGATAATTTGGCTAACTGAATCAAGAAACAAATGTACACGGATTTATATATATCATGCTATTAAGCCTTTTAACAGTTTATATCTTGTCCCTTGCAAAATAAAGCCATCTGTTGGCCAATCACATGCATTTGCACATTTGCTGATTTCTGATTGGCCCATTGTATCAAAATATTACTTGAGTAATTCTGTTTATAGTAAACGGGGAAGGCGCTCGATTATTTCAGTACAGATAATTTCAACGGTTCGTAGGGTTGGGAGAACAATACTTAACTTGATAAGTTATTTCACAATGATCACTTTCATAAAATTATTTGAAGAATATTCGATTATAAAGAGAAATATATGGGATGATCAAGTTGTAAATTCGCATGATAATCTAGAAAATGTGACAGAATACGCTTGTGCTAATTATAAATATTTTATCTATGCATAGGTATGTTTGCAGCGATGAACTGACAATCATGTTTAGTTTTCTTGGGTATAACACAGTTCCGGTTCGGGTTTAAATGACCATGGACTACATGATTTTAGTGACTATGTAGTCAAGTTGATTACTATCTGTGGTTATTTATGTGCAACTTTTTTTATGAGCCCGGATGATCAAAACTGAACCCAATTGAAGATGGACAGTTATCTTTTGACAAGTGATACTTAATCTCAATTGGAATATGACATCACCCATCTCAGTTTGTCTAGAATAAAAAGTACTATTGATCCTCAAAACTGTATTTGTGTGTTGAACTCATAGTGTCGTTCATAAAGATATTGATTGTATTAAACTCTATTTATTAGTAAATCAAAACAATTATGCCAATAGTGTCGACAAAAGATGTTAAAGAGTATATAATATTGAATTAGTGAAAATACAAAAAGATACTATTTCTCGTACTTTGATTGCATTGAAATAACACGGATTAGGATTATGTAATCCAAGTCGAAGAGGAACAAATAGCAATAATGGTCTCCAATTTGATGAAGGTGAATTTGTTGAGGAGGATGAGGATTTAACATGTACAGAAGCAACGACAGGAGAGGCAATAGTAGTGCTGTCAGTTTGATTATCATTGTATTGATTCGTTTGATCCATAGGAAGTTGATTTCCTTGACAATCTTTATGAGTATTATCATCAACAGGAATGGAAATCTTGTTATCGTCAAAAATTGATGAAGAATGATGTGAATTAATTACATTGGATGTAGATAATACATTTGACTCATTTGATTGAGTATTAGTAAGTATTGAACTAGTGAAAGTTGGAGGTAAAACTATTTCTATACAACTATCATCTACTTCTCTGGTAACAGGTAATTGAAGTTGAGATCGTAAACTAAAATTTTACAAAATACGATGTTACGTAAATAATACACGAAACAAAAAACAAACAAACAAGAATCAGTTAGAATATTATTTCATGATAATTAAAATAAACCATTGTGTCACTGAATAAAAATAAAGAGAATTCAGTATTTCAGAAAATTGATTCTGGCGTTCGCTATAGAAAGCTTGACAGAAAAAAAACTGAGAAACCCACTGAGTTCCTTCACTGTCACTGGATCCTTGCAACTTTTTGGTTAATTAAAATAACCCATTGTGTCATTGAATAAAAAAAGTTGCACGGATCAAGTGACACTAAAAGAACTCAGCAGGTTTCTCAGTTTTTTTTCTGTCAAGCTTGCTATGGCAAATGCCAGAATCAATTTTCTGAAATGCTGTATAGACAAACGTAGCTGGATTCTCGATACATACATGATGACGAATCTTTTATCAGTATGAAATATTCGAAGTCACGCAATAGAAAGGTCTAGGGTTTCGAACCGTTAAATATTATCATACTATATTTAGCATGTTTAGTAAGCTCATTTTTACCAGTGATGAATTTATTAAAATTATTCAATTCCAAATAAAACCATTTGTTTAGTGGTAATATTTCTAGACGTGGAAATGAATGAGATATATTTGAATCTTGAAGGGAATATGACTATGCCTTCGTGATAGATATCATTATGAGCCAGAAATGACTAGATTATTTACTTTTTACCAATAAACTTGGAATATCTAGATATTCGAACATATTAGTAATATTTCAATCTTGTAAATAAATCCCATAAAAACTAAATAATTTATAATTTTTATATTATTTATTTAAACACATAAACATTGGTACAAGGAGGCACCAAATAGATATGAGCCACATAAATCATTCGATTTGTGTGAGGGCTGGGATACTGCCCGGGTGCCCAGACCGAAGCAGACGGTTTTCTTAGGGGGCCACACCCAGAACCTTGGGCCTAAAGGTCTGACCCACAAGGCAATGGAGCATCGTGAGGAGATGCAGTCCCATGGGAGCCGGTGACCAACGATTGGTTCATACGCCATTTGTTCTTTTAGTATCCTGGAGCCCATGTACACCATTGGTTTTGAATCCGGTTAAAGCACCGGACATTCGCTTTTCGTCCTCTCAATTTCGTAAACAACAGAGATGCCACGAGAAGGCAGTGAGTAGGACTTCCCTGGAAGAGGCTGTATACGCGTGGCCGTGTGAGAGTATTTTGAGAGGGAGGGCGGGCCCACCCCACCCTCGGCCATACCAGGGCATTTGAGGTCAATTTGTAATTAATTATTTTAGCTGTGATTTTTATATCAGAAATAGATGGTGTATAAATTTAATCATAAATTAGTCAACATAGTGATTGCTTTTATATAGGGAATATTGCACAAGTCATGGAAACATGTGTTGTAAGATGACAACATTAATTACTGTTAACTTATTACGTCAACCGGGTAACAGTGTTAGTATGTAGTTGACTTTTTTTCTTTCACTTTAGTTGGATGCAAGAAGCTTATTTAAGGAATGATTTACATTTGGCCAGGATTTATAGGGTGAATTCATTTTCAAGTTATGCAATCAACCATTATTGATATTTCATCACATACTACCCTTTTATTTATCTCGTTCATTTTCTCTTACTGTATTGATGTATCGCTGATCGGTTCAGATCACTTGATGATTAGGGTCTGAGAGATTGTCGTAATTAATAGTTGGAGATACTGGATGATATGAATTAAAATCGTTGAAATGGTGTAGGTGCATTCACTATTGATCTTAGTTTGGATTTTGAGTTTCGAAATTATTATTTTTACCAATATGGGAATTGTCTTCATGGTTTCATCGCACTATGCTGATGGGATAAAGTAACTTGGACCGACGAAAATACGTACCAGGTTTTACGCAGCGTATAACTTGTTGTGCCGCACATTTTTACCAAGTCATACGTTAATTATAACCCCTCCTATAGCTCTTCTAGGGTTACTGCTGGTCTTAACCCGGGTAAAGGGAGAGGGTTGGGGTCAACAACTCCATCCTGTAGAAAACAAACTTGCTAAAAACACACTAACCAGAATACGCTGATTATGAGTGACTTATTGACTAATATACACTCTGCAGGAAAACAGAAAGCTTTTCGTAAAGTAGGAAGAATATACACCATCTTTTCTATAGGGAGGCTGTACGGTTATAATTTATTGAAAAAGAGAACAGAACCAAGGTTTTGTATTCATTGCCACTTCTACGCGAATCGTACGTGTTATAACACGAAGGAGAATTTGCATAACTTGTGTCGATTGAGAGACTGGTCTCCTGAAATGCTAATGATCGAGTAATAACTGATCACAAACCTGAATTATTAGCTCAATGCTCCGATGAACCAATATTAGAAGGCAGAATAATTTATCGGTAGAAATGACATTTTATGTGACAGAATCACACACTTATATACAGCATGTTTTACACAAGATAAACACCAATAGGCTCGTTTAAAATGTTAATGAATGTTAGATATGAGTTTTGAAAGTAACTTGTAAACCTGTTACACTAAAGCTTAACTAACAGGATCAGATATTGTTCGTCATATCAGTCAGTACTTGAGATGTTTTGGAATTTAATATAACGTCAGAGAATAAAATCTGTATTATTAGGCGTCAAAGTGATACACGCAAGTAATCAACTGTTCAGGTTCTGACTAACCACTCTCACAAAAACGACTGCTTCTACAAAGTCATCAACCACAATGGTAAAGAAAAATAACAAAGTCAAAGAAACCCTACCTAATATGCCAATACTATTTTCAGATAATTTAAACCTTCAAGAGCTGTCAGCGAAACCGAAGGTCTAGAGTTCGACCCTCAGTCGGGTCATGGATATGCATTTATGACAAGCCCCATACATGCTAAGACGAAACAGATCTCCATTGTTTCCTAGTTTTCAGTTATTTAGCTGAGATCAAGATGTCTAGTGTAATCTATGAAGATAGTTGCATAGTTTGTCTTTGTGAAGTTACCGCTGATTCATTTAAAACAAATGCCTAAAAGAAAGACTGGTCTGAACCACAGTGCTATTCTAATAAATTAAAAGTAACATTAACTTGAAGAAAAAGTATACAAATTATTCACCTGTTGCATTACTATCTAGTAGGTTCATTAAAAAAAATCGGTCACAAACATAATAAACAAATTGAACTTTGCAGTTTACTAGCAAACATGAAACCTACTCAATGATTTCTGAATCATAATTACGCATACTAAGGGCTTCATTGTTCCAATCACAACTTTGATTTGCATCGATAACAGATTGAGCAAATGGACAACTGTATGAAGATGTTGATGAGTCCGACTCTTCTGCGGGATCATCTTTACTTTCATCAGCACAAGGTTTCATCGATTCAGATTGATTATCATTTTCACTAGCATTATTTGAGAAATTGAAATAAGGTCGATTTTGGCAGCATAAAGATTCTAATTATCAGGAAAAAAAGAGAAATATACTTTTGTAACCTGGTATCTGACTGCGCTTTGATAGTACGAAGATCTTATGAACATAAATCTTCCACTTAACTCCGTATATTACCTAGACTAACCTCGTTTGTGTGACGTCGATAATAAGAAACCAAATCCGGGTTGCGTTGGATGAATTCATTTCAGGCACTCGTTTATCCAGGCAGGCATTCAGAATAAGAAGCGGAGAAGGTCAACTCGATTTGACCGGGTGACTCGGTATTTATAATCAGACAAAAATAAGCTACGGACGTTTGATAGGTAGGATAAGCAATGCACAAAAATGTACTCAAACAAAAACAGTCAACGTTAATAAGCGAATAATTGAAAACGTCAAAATGTAACTCAAGAAGAATGGATAAATTGGTCCGTCCGGAAGCTAGAATAACCCATGTGGGCTTGATATGGTACTAGACACTACAATACTTTACAAAAGAATATTATGTGAATGCACGTGAAACATACTACGAATTTATTTATTTAAACACATAAACATTGGTACAAGGGAGCACCAAATAGATATGCGCCACATAAATCATTCGATTTGTGTGAGGGCTGGGATACTGCCCGGGTGCCCAAGCCAAATTACATTGAGAACAATAAAAATAAATTGAGCAGGAAAAACAAGGGCTTGCAGAATAAAACCAATTCATTATTCTATTTGATATAGTAATATAGAGTAGAACAAGTGTTATGGTTGCCAGTAATTGTAGTCAGGATAAAAGAGGTTATGCAAAAGGTAGTGAAATTAATAAGTGATTGGATGATCGCTAAAAAATGATAAGATAAATATGATGACATTCATAAGATTATGTAAGAGATAACTATCAAAAGATAAAAAAAGAGCTGACAAAAATTAATGAAGGTTATTTGATGAACATATAATCACTATCACTCTTTCCTTCTGTGTACATAGGATGGCTCGGAAATATATCATGGAGATTGCCTATGCAAAACGCAATAAGACTGACGTTTTTATGTGCTAATTATTTTGAATGGATTATTTAAATTCGCTTCACATCTACTATCCAAAAGGTTTCAGGCAATGACACTTGCAAACATTTTACTCCCTTTTAGATATAGTTTCCTAGGAATATGTTCAGAAAACGTATTAGAGACCTTTCTCTCTGTCCTTTCAATTTACTTGCTATCGCTGGTATATGTAGTCATAGATGTAATTGGAGATGACGTCAGGAGGGTATTGATCTGCCTTGAATTATATAACGAACACTTGGTTTTGTACAGTGAAGTTAATTGAGCGGCAGGGAAGCTTCTTTTCAGTGCTGCCTTGATTCGCACATCGATTGTTCCTGAAATCTCATTTCCCTTGAACGGAAGAAAGATGACGACAGGTTTATCAAGAAGTTGGTTGTTCATCATCTTTAGAATCTTCTTATCTATATTTTGCAATAATTTTTTTCGAATATATGTTTTTAATTAAGCGCTTTTCTAGCATAGTCAATTCTTCAATAAATTCATTGTTTGAGCATAAAATTCTAATTCTATTGAAGAGGATTTTGACTAGAGAACTCTTGTAATTGATAGAACAAAAGTTATTATGGGTTAAATACCATCCCGTCCATGTTCCTTCCATATACATACTTTTCTCTTTCATATTCCGTTTTTAACATTATGTTTGGATGATAGTTGTTGAAGTGACTAAGCAGCTGAGAAGTGTAATCCATATCAACACAGATAATGAACGTATCATCGACATATCTGAAGTAGCATGCTGTTCTGGATTTCGTGTTTTAATTTTGTTTGTTTGAATTTTATCAGGATTATTTAAAAAAAGCATGTGAAAATATATGTGTTAACATTTAGTAAAACGATTAGGAATTGGGCTTCCAGTTAGAGATTCACGGTAATTACTATAAACGAACAATCAAGATTATTCTAATACAAATAGGTTTTATGATGGACTCAATAGAAAGGCAACTGACACACGACAACATTCTAGTACTAATAACTCATAGGTTGACAGCACACAGACAGAAAGGAAGGATAGTTGCTTTATATTCCAAAGAGAAGTCAAAAATCGAGATAAAATAACTTGATTTATATAGTGACACCTAATGACGTTGCGGTGCAACAAAACTAGCAAAACAAAAATGATGGCAACCAGTCAGGTGACAGCAAAGACCATTGGAGAAAAATATTACGAAAATTTTATTGAGATTATCCTTTTAACAATGAACTAACATGTAATAACACTAATTTGGCCCCCGAATGCCCTGGCACGGCCGCGGGTGAGGAGAGTTTACTCTCCTCCAAATGCTCTCACATGGCCACTCGTATACAGTCACTAACAGAGAAGTGCTACTCACTGCCTTCTCGCGGCACTTCTGTTGTTTACGAAATTGAGAGGACGAAAAGCGAATGTCCAGAGCTTTAACCGGGTTGATGGACACGGAGGGCCCACCTAGGGGAGTTGGAAAACTCTGATTCCGAACCAATGGTGCACATGGACTCCAGTATTCTGAGGGAAAAATGCCGTATAAACCTATTGTTGGTCACTGGCTACCATGGGTCTGCATCTCCTAACGTTGCTCCACTACCTTGTAGATCAGACATTTAGGGTAGAAGGCTCCGTGTGTGGCCCCCAACCCGGGGAGTAACACAGCCCACACAGAAATCAGGTGACTTGTGTGGCGCATATGTATTCGGTACTCCCTGATACAGATAAAATTAATTAATTAGATAGCAAGAGATAGAAGAACAGCTGGTGTTAGGGGATCATATATAATGAACTAAAGGAGTCGAGATAATAATAATAACGATAATAATATGCATGTTCGTACACGATTTTAATCTAAGAAATGAATTAATGGAATAGCAAATAAGTATGAAATAATATTAAAACTCAGAATCTAAAAGAGGATAATTTAATGAACACTTCAGTGTCACTGAAACTGGTTTTCAACCATACCGACCAAGCTATCCATAATTATCGGGCTATATCGAAAATTGACCGAGGTTACAATTGTACCGTTGGGTACCAACTTAGTTATCCAAATGAAGAGGTATTCGTCGCCAGACCTGAATGTCCTGGGTTCGATCCCTGGACCTCCCTCACAGTCCTGAATACCTACTGTTGAGAAGCCCCACACTGGGGCAGAACAGCTGTCTAGTGCTTCCTACCCTTTAATGGCACCGCAAATGAGATCGATTTGTGATGAATACACACTACAAAGTTCCCACAATCGTTGATCACAAATACATGGTAGGTGGTCAAACGATCTATGTGTACCATCAATACAAAATCATTTAGTCTAATTTACAACCTCTAAAAATATACTTCTTACCATTGACAAGATTATATATCAAATAAAATTGTACAAAGATTAGATAAAATGTAGCTAGCAGTGAAATCCAGGACGAGCGCTTCGTTCTGTTTGGGATTCGTCAGTCGGATGAACCCGCATCACAGAGTTGATGTTTACTCAATGACTTGAATCCAGCACCGTTTGCTTCAAGCAGCATCGCCTTATCCACTTAGCAACTGATTTCATATAGCCATTCACTTATTCAACGAGTATGAGATTTAATTCAATTTGAAATAGCTTAAATTATCCCATTGTTAATATTTTTGGCTGAATTTTGATCAGTATATGGGCACCCCATACGGATTGCCTCAATATAGCCATTATGACACAAAATTATATAGATTATATGAAGTGTAGCTAGCAGTGGAATCTAGGACGTACGTTTCGTCTTATCATTATAAGAATTATATCGAGGCTAACTGTACAGGATGCCCATATCCCTACCAAGATTGATCAGATTTCAGTCAAGAATATAAACAACGGGATAATTTAAACCATTGCAAATTGAATTAAACACACATATGATTAACAACAACCAGTAAGAATAATATGAATTCATCTAAATCTACAAATTCTGGTGTTATTACTGCTGTTAAAAACTTTTAAAATACAATGTATGTATAGGAGAGGTATGAATGGAACGAATTTGATATTTTTGATGTAATGAAACAAATATAAACTAATAAATACAGAGTTCACAATTGAATAGTAGAAAAAAAAGCTGTTGGTTTTTGTTAGATATGAAAGAATAATTGAAGAAGGTAAGATTGTCGAAAACTATTCCAAGAGCGTTTGTTTTGATATTAATTTTAATTTAGATTTATTGTAAATAAAAATAATATATTTGTAATATCCCAATGAGTAGAAAATTGGATTTTTCTGACGTTTCGTGGCTTAGTGTAAGTCACTTCTTCAGAGACTAAATAACCAAATTAAATAGATTTATTGATTCATTTAGTTAATAGTTGTTCTTTTTTTTATTGCCCTGTGATTGTAAACTTTCATTTAAATCATTAATTATTAATAGATGTTTTACAATTCAGAAAAAGAGAATTAACGCTAATCAATGATGCAGTAATCATTCAATGTTGTATTATAAATGACCTAGTTATGTACAAATTGAAATTTTTTATATACGGTGTATTGTGCTTTTGTAATTAGTGTATATTATCCTATGAATTTCTAAGTTAAAATATTGAGAGCAATAGAAGGTAAATTAACTTGTTGAGTTTATATTCTGATTGATCATTAGGGATAGAAGCTGTATGGACTAGTAGACGTTAAAATATTTGATGGTTGTTAACGGTTATTTGTGTAATTGTTTAAAACGAAGGTGATCGGTTATATTAATGTAAAGAAAACTCCTCTTATTAATGGATTCTGCAACTGAGTGATTCAAATTGGAGAGTATAAAAAAGGTAGGTAATAACAGTTTCGGTGGATTTTTCTAAATGCACAAAAGAGAAAATCTAACGTATTTTAAAATAATAGTTCTTATATGAATGATTATTAGGACATGTAAATAAATGAATACTGGTCGCTTTCCCTTCAAATTAAGATAAGTTTCTAGTAATATTCAACAATATATATGGAATGTTGCCAGCTGTGGAGTCCAAGATCCGCGTCTCGTCAGAC